GTATATCATTGCTTCCGGCCTTTGATCGAAACAATAAGGAACCTACCGTGTTCCGCCTCGCCCTGATGCCGTCATAGTTATTATTTAATAATACTACTGCTTACCGTTAAAAGTTACAACTTCTGTTGATGCGTGAAGAGGTTGCAAGCCGTCGCAGTCGATACTGCGGCTCCAATCAACGATCAGTCTGCTAGCCGAAACATGCGGCCCATCTTGAAATTCAACATCCATATAGCTATGACGGATATGTGTGTGCTGTGTGTCTGCGGTGTGGTGTTTGTGCTGTGTGTGCTGTGTATGTGCTGTGGTGTCGTGTGTGCTGTGCTGGGTGTGGGTGATGTGTGATGTGTGTGTTGGTGTGTAGTGTTGCGTGTGGTGTATGTGTGTGAGTGTGTGGTGTGTGTGTGTGTCTGTGTGTGTGCTGTGTGTGTATGCTGTGACTGTGTGATGCTGTGTGTGTGAGGTGCTGTGCGTTCGATGTGTGTGGCTGGGTGTGAGTGTCGCTGGTGTGTTCGCTGCTGGACATCGATCGTCAAGCGTACGTTTATATCAGTGTAACGATGAGAGATGCTTACCTCAAACTTCTCCTCAGTTGACGGCGCCAGTAATACGAGGTCATTTACAGCCTGTAGAGGACTGTGTGCCTACACACGAAACACAAACAACATGCTATTAAAAAACATAGACACCCATCTACAAGACGCTATAACTAGCAATGGGATGACCTTCCACAAATAATAATAATTATTATTATTGTTGCTGTTGTTATTATTATTANCTTTGGATTTTTATGCACTATACTATAATTTTGATATACTCTTCAGAGCTAACACGGGAGTTGGAAAGCAGCGTGGTAGTTTCCCAAAATGCAGTGCGCCGCCTATAGCCCTGTACTTACAGCCATTTAGATTTACTCGGCAACGACAGCGAACGCGAGAATTGTGTGATTTCGCGTGACACAGCTTGGTTACGAACACAGACAGTATGTTGTTATAACAAGTGAACACTGGCCTTCAAATAGAAACAAAGATGGAGTAGGATGGTTGAATATTTGTTTTGTAAATTGTAATCGTGTGAAATCAAGCAAGCGTCGAGCGAATTTTGGCATCTTACTTTCCTACCTGCTCTATATTTATGTGTCAGCGAGCGGCAGCGTGCATGCAGTATACATGTGTGTTGCAGAGGAGCATTTGCACGGCATTTACAAGAAATTGTCGGCAATAATAGGAGAAAGAGAGTAGAAAAAACATTAAGACTTTGGTAGTAAATAAATTTCGTATTATTTAGCATTATATTTTATTGAAACGCTCCTAGTGCCTGTGAAGCAAGCGGCTTAGATACAATAATGTAACCCAACAAGAGTAGGGTTACAACGTGAGCCTATTATTTTCTTTGGAGGATAGGCTCGCGTTGTAACCCTACTCTTGTTGGGTTACATTATTGTATAGACCTACAAGCGGCCGAAATATCGCGCGGGTCCTCATTCATTTCAGGTAGCGGCTATGGCTACCCCTAGGGCCACTACAGTACGACCTGCAGTATTTAAATTACAGTATTTTAAGTACAGCATTAAGAATTATTATGACTTACCCGTCGTAGCATCCTTCCCTTCCCTCCTTCGGACATCACGGAACCCTTGCATGAATCCTTGAACCGAGCTCCGCAGTGCTGTAGTATTCTCCCGGTATAGTACTGGTAGTCACTTAGTACATTAATGTCACACTATATGTAAGTGTCTCACGGTATTATCGTTATTACTGCCCTGGGTAATAGGTGGCGCTGATGTCATTAGAGGCGACACGTCTGGGCTATGTTACATGTAATCACCCAGGAGCTCACATATTTTGACGCCTACGCTTTTGTATTGATCGTCTTCTTACACACTTAAAGGCATAATAGGCCCACTGATTATGCAAAGTTGACGAATGCTACAGTAACTGGCACCTTGTGTAGTTAATAAGTACATTACCTTATAGCCAAACGCGTATTANCCGCCTCAAAAAATCAACTTAATACTTTCGATCGGTGCGCGCGCTGGCCCTTGGCGCTGTCTGCTTAAGTCGATTTCGCTTGATTGGGTCGGGTTATGCCACCCCGCCCACAGACGAATGGAATACCCACAGACGCTGGACACTTCCGTATTACCCTGCTTGCTAAGCGTTTCGATGTGCTGCCCCTGCCCCGCGCGAATGCTAGCGCGTCAACTACTTCGAAATGGCCTCGGGGTTGTCTATATTCATAAGCCCAGTACGGGAGATTACGCCGTACGCATATATTTGCTAATATACTTGACTAATCGTTGCGCTCAATAAACTCAATATTCACAGAGACTATAAGCTAAGACATGTGTCATATAGGTATAAAATAGCAATTTTAGAAATTTAATCATCTGCTAATTCACTTTCGCACCAGTATTTGCTAATATACTGACTATCGCTGCTTCGATAAAACTCATGATTTCACAGAGAGTATGCGGATGTCTATATTCAAGCCGGTACGCGCGAATCATTTGCAATAATATATTCTAGATATATCCCAGATATAGCGTTTCAATTTCCACAGTCAGCATGATAGGTACTAGATTTATCACGTGTTGCATGTTATATACCGTTGCAAATAATAAATTCGTTATGGCGGCAATGACAGCATGCAGGACTCACTGGCACTTGCTGTGCCACACCAACAGAACTGTTTTACTTATGGCATTGTTTAATTATATTGTAATCATTAATATTCAATGTAAACTAATAAAATATAAGCTAACAGTTAAAAGTTAGGGAAAACACTACTTTGCGTTCGGTGATCTGTGCTAATTCGCTGCCTTTTGTTCTGTGAAAAATACCAGTTAAAAACGTATATTGCAATTTGTAAATAATTACACCACATCACATGACACATGTAGATGCGTCATGTACAATAGACTTCGGAAGTGGATCTGTTTACCCTACATTAAGAAGAGCCGACATTGACGGGTAAAAGACAGCCAATTGCAAATATCTGCCCCCTATTTGAGATAATCATTTTTGAGGCCCATCTCAATTTATGTGTCTCAGCTGACAAGGGTTGAAAATCACTGGCCTGCCTTTGAAATGCTGATATGCTTGTACCTATTACAAAATATAACTATTATTAGTATGGGAAATTTGAGTAAAATACATTGCTTTGTCTGCCTTCTCGTCGTGTGACTCATGGGCGTTATACATGTCACCAGGCTGATTTTCATGAAATATACATAAAACAGAAAAATACGGTTGGAGAAATATTCACTGCCTCGGGCCACTGAAGTATATTATCATTAATTGCTTATGGCAATATCAACCCTAAACCAACCACATGCTGAATAATTTTTGCAAAAAAAATTCAAACTGTCTGCTATTTTAACCTAATTTCCATAAGTCTTCACCGATCCCTTCCACCTTTATTAAAAAAACACAAGGGGCCAAAGTCAAAAATTTAAGAAGCTAATAAGAAAGGATGCATGTTCCATCTCTGCATATGAAGTCAGTAACCTTCTGCATTCCGAACCTAGAAAACAAGCAGAATCCGTAATTGCTGAGCTCCAGCCACTTGTAATTAAGCTTCTTAGCCAATAAATGTGATTAATGGTATTTGAGTAAAAAATATGGGAAAATTATATCGTTTTTTTGATTATTATTGGTTTGTGTAGAAAAAAACAAACATCTTACAAAATCCGGCTCACGACTGAGCCGAATAAATGTAAACTACAGGACTTGCTAGCACCCCCCTGGTATAACAGTGTCACATTACG